ATAATTAATTTATTTGCTCAATATATTTTCAGTTTTTAAAATAAATCAATATTTTAAATATCTTGGTTAATGATAATGATAATTTAGTTTAATAAATCCTCGTTGATTCACATATAAAAGGCCCAAGTTATAATAATCAATACTCTTTTAAAATTTTTAAATTTTTATATGTATTAAACTTTTTATCCTTTTAAATATTTCCTCATTAACTCCCATCACATAGGAATTCTGATTCTTACTGATCCTATGGGAGCCAAAAATATGATTTAATTAAATATTAAAAATAATTAATTTTACAAATTTACATAGATACATAGATAGCGTAAGATGTCATTTTGATTTAAGATAAGCATAAATTTAGTGTTTAGATTTAATAAAGTAAAAATTTTATTAAAAAAATATTGTTAATAAGAATATTAAAGTTGAAGATTAATATTACTCAGTGATTATATTTAAAATTTGTATTATTTTATCTCTATTTTAAAAATATTAATTAAATTGAGAATAAACTCTGCTCAAAAATAAAATAAATAAATTAATATAAATTTTTTATAAAATTATTTTTTAATTATAAAACATATACAAAATAAGCAAATTTAAGATCTTTTTTTTTGTTTTCAAGTGATAACTATGAAATAACAAATTGAAATTAATGCAAAAATAATATAATATAATTCACATAAAATGATTCTTAAAAAGTAAAGCCCTTCAAAGTCACTGGAAGAATACGTATCCAGGGCAATTATGTGAATTATTAATGTTATTAGATTACAAATTTCTAAGCATGTAGCTACACTTTATTTTTTCGAGCAGAATATTTCCACAATTTTTATAATTGAAATTCCACAACTAATAAAAAACAAAACTTAAGCTTAAGCTCCATTTCCTTAAACGTTCACTAGGACAGAAGTTATCAAATTATGGGCCACTATACTTAAAGAAAAACACACCTAAAGCAATACATAATAATTTAGAAATTATTTCATTACAACAACCAAAGAAACATTGAAAAGTTATCTAACTTGATTCTTCTTCTCCTTCTTCTTCCACAGAATGGTATTGGTTTTATTGTTAGCTCATACTAATTGTATGAGACTATAAGATTCTAGCAGTATTCTCATTTTAATCAAGATAAGAAATGTATGTATCATTTTAAGTTTTTTTAAATGGTTTATATTGAAATAACTAATATGAGTATTTTGGATTTAATAAACCTTAGTTTGTATTAGACATATCTTTTCAATCTTTGAAATTTGTTTATTGTAATTTTAAATCATTATCAATGGATAAAAATTTATTTTATGAAATCAATAAAAATTATTGAATTGCTTTTTAGGGAAATAAAAATCAGATTTTTTTTACTATTTTTGAATGAAAAAAATTTAAATTTATTTTGAGATATAGATAGGAGACCAAATAAGCAAATAAAAATTTCATCAAAGATAAAAAATATCTCATCACAAAATTAGATAAAGATTCCTGTAAATTATAATATGGGATAGTAAAATAATATGAAGTATTTGCAAATCGTTAAAAAAAATTAAGATTATTTAAAAATGGTTAATCGATTAAGTGAGAATTTAAAAGGACAGCTATTTAAAAAATTTGAAAAAAATCTTAAATATTAATTGATTTTCAATCAATAAAATTACAGATTAATAATGAGTATAGATTAATTTACAAAGATAAATCATTCAAATAATTGAAATCATCTAATAAAAAATTAGATAATAGACAACTCCATGTAGGATTTGTTAAAAATGTTTTTTTTAAATTTTTAAATTTTTAAAAGAATATTTTAAGATAAAATAATTAAAAATGAACATTTATAAATTCTATTTATATATTTTTTATTTTGATTTCTTGAAATGTTTATTAGATATTTTATTATTTTTGTAAATAAAAAAGAATCAGATTATTATTAAGAATTTATGAATACATTTTTAATTCCATCACAATTTTAAAAATAAAAGATATACATAAACAAAATCTTTCATCTAGATGACTTTACCATATAAATTATTAAAGCAATACATATTAATAGTCCAAGCAAAATATAAAAAAATGTGCAAAATATAAAAGCTAATAAGTAAAGTTATCCACAGTCACTAGAGATATTAGCAGTTAGACCTATTATGCATATTACGAATGCTATTATCATACAAAAATCTAAAAAATCAGATAAATTTTCTTGTTTTAAAACATATTTTTCAAACGCTTTTAAAATTGAAATTCCACAGTTAATAAACAAGATAATACTTACTGTTAGACTCCACTTTCTGAAAGATTCGTTTGTACAATAATTATATTTCTCAGGTTCTCCTTAGAACATATAGAAAAGCACACCAAAAGTAATAGAAAAGAAGTTATTAATAACAAATAAACAGCATAAACAGCACATACCAAAGCAGCATTATTAGCATGTTTAAGTTGAATCTATAACTGGTTATTATGGATTTTGTTCTTAGCTCATGTTTATGAAATGAGATTATAAGATCTTATCGTTACTATTATTTTAAATAAATTAAGAAACATATTCATAATTTTAAGCTTAATTCGCAGGCTAATATTAAGTTTGAGGTGATTGAATTTAATATGAAGCGCTTTAGTTTTTTTTCTACATTTTTTTTCTTCAGTTTGTAAATTTATTTGTTATAATTCTTTATAAGCCTTGATTTATTTTAAGATTTATTGATAAAAGATACTAAATTAATTATTATACAAAATTCATATAATATGAAATTCATGAAATTGGAAGTAAAAATTAATTATTTTATCTGAATAATAAATTTGCATTCATTTAATTAAACTTTCTAGAAAAAATCCCATATTAAAAAATAATATTTAATCTATTTTCATTTTAAAGTCTGTCTAGTGAAGTCAAGAGAGAATATAGTTAACTTAATATGTTTTAAATTATATTATAAGTAAGCTGAGCTTGCAAAAAATTGATGAAATTTGAGTGTATTCTTTACCATTCTTACTTAATCCAAACTTTATTAACTTAGTTCAATAATTCTTTAATCCTCACATAAAAGATCCAAGTTACAATAATCAATACTCTTTAGAAGTTTTGAAAATTTTTATATTCATTTAAATGTATATAACTTTTTATCCTTTTAGATTTTTCCTCATTAACACCCATCACAAATGAATTCTGATTCTAAATGATAGCATGGGAGCTAAAAATATTTAATTTTCCAAATTTAGATATACATAGATAGAGTAAGAGGCCATTTCGATTAACTATAAGCGTAAATTTAGTGATTTCATTTAATTAAGATAATTTGGTGATTAATTAAATTTTTGATTAAGTATTTTTAATTGTTTTATTAAAATTTGATTAAATTCCTTTGCTTCATTTGAAATTTCTCAAATTTTCTATTTATTTACTTTCATTGATAAGTAAATGAAAAAACAATAAGTCTGCAATATTTTCATCATTTTATATTATTTTTTTTTTTACACTAAATAGTTGTCTAAATTACCATCCACTTTTAGTGTTTGAATACTTAATTCATCACTAAAAATGTTTAGATTTCTGATCTGGATTACCATACAGACCGATTACATTAATTAAATTCAAAATATTGTTTTTTATTTTCAACCATTTAATAAAATTTTTAACTTTATTTTAAACTCAGAAGGATAAATTAAGGATTAATTTCTTCCTGTATAATTCGATTTTTATGATCTTGTAAAAGTTAATCAATTGTATTTTTTTTACATCTTTCCTATCTAAGTGGAAAATACCTGATGTAGATGTCTAGAAATATTTTTAATCATAGCTAGCTTAACTCAAAATATCAATGAGATCTTTGCATAATAATTAAATTAAAACTCTATTATTATATTTTGTATATAATTGTTTAATTTATTGGAGAAGCTCCCATAAAGTCTCTCTTTTTATGGTTTTCTTTTTTATTTTAGCTTAAATAGTATCTCTGACTATACTTAATAGATTGTTAAGTTTTTTTATCTGTCTCTTTTCTTCTTTATAAATTTTAAGTACTCTTTTTGGTTGAGTAAAATATGTGAGAAAGTTCTACTCAAATTTATTTTGTAATTAATATCAAAATATTTCATGTATAAGATAGGAATTTGTATACCAGGAACTGTTGATAAGACTAGATAATTGTTATTAGTATTGAAGCTTAAGGTAGAAGATAATTAACAATTTGAGCATTTTAAGGTCAATAGGTTCGAAATCGAAATCTTATATGCAAATTTTTTGCTCTTCAATGTAATTTACTTGCAGGGATACATTTTTCACATTTATAAAACAACTTTTTAAAAAAACTTTTAATAATTTTTTAATGATATTTGTAAATGTTTTTTGAAAAATAAAAAAACATAGCTCACTTCCATCCTAAGTATCAAATAGGTATTTGTATATTATGAAAATTTAATTTAAATATATTTCTATCTGTCAACACAAGTAAAAGCATAAAATCAAAATTAAATCATTTATAATTTTTAAGATAAAATCAAATTGTAAAATATTTAGAAAAGATTATTACAAATTACAAATATAATGAGTTATCTAATAAATTTTAAACTAAAAAAGTGTTTTTATTTATTTATTAATTAGTTATATTTTTTACATATTATCTTTTTTCATAATTTTTTTAAATCTGAATATATTTGTTTTGCTATTAAATAAAATTCAATATATAGAGAAAACAATTCTCTAATATAAAATTAACTCTTGTTTAAATTTACCATTTATTAATATGATTTAACTTGAAATTTACAAAATATTCAGTAAAATTTAATATCCTCAATTAAGGTTTTTAGATTACTATTTATTTTTTAATCAACAGAATTTATATAAAAATTTTTAGTTAAGTATTTTAAAGTAATAAATTTAATTAGAAAACAATGTAATAATAGAATAATACATACTATAACATAAATGATGTATTTATCAATTTATCATTTGTTTACCTTAATAAATTATTTTATTAATGTTAATAGCTTCTCAATACTGATTTAAGTAATTTCAGTAATCTTAACATATAATTAGAGTAAATAATTCAAGTTAAATTTTATATTTGCTAAATACTAAGTTTAAATTATCAAATTAAATTTAAATATTTTGATTATATTTTTGCATTTTTTTTAAATAAAGAATTAAAATATTTAATAAATAGGAACTGCTCGATTCCTAACTAAGAAATGATTGTTAAGCTTAAAAGTTCTTTAGAAGAATGCACATAAATTCAAACATTAATTTTGAATCTGGAGTAAAAATTAAAGGTTTATTAATATAAAATAAATCTCTTTAAAAATAGATAAAATGAGATTGAATGTGATTAAATAAGATTATTAACTGATGATTTACCTATATACAAGGATCTCAATACTCTTTAACTTCTATTAAGGTTAAATTCTTATCTTTAAAATTCTAATTTTTTCCTATAAATATATTAACTTTTTCACCTTCAAAAATTGTTTGCGTTTTTTATTAATTAATTTAAATATTTTTTTAAAACTAAAAAGCTAAAATCAGATTTCACAGTAAGGGGCATCTATTTTAGGGTCTTTTTTAAAGAAATGCTAGCAATTAAAAAAGCTTAAAATTGATATATCGTAGAAAAATACTAATTTTTGATAAATAAATTAATTATTTTCTATATCGTAGGGAAAACTATATTGGTTCTGATGGTCTGTCTGAATTAGCAAATGGTATTTAAACAACCTAAAGTATTTAACATCTAGAATTCTAGATTGGGTATTTAATTTATTTAAAATATTCTTAAATTATTAAAAGTAAATAATATTAATATGATTTTATTAGAAATAATTACATTGAAGATGACGGAGCTTTGGCTTTAAGTAAAGCTTTAACTTACTTAAGTGCTTAATTAACTGATTTAATCATTGAATTAAAGTAAAACTAAATAATAATTATTAATTAAAAAATTATTTTTCAATAAATTTAAAGTAATAAATACCTTAAAACCTAATAAATTATTAGCTCTTTATTTTTTTTTAATAGTTTTTGTCTTAATTTAATCAGGTTTAATTTTTGAAAAAATTTATACAAATAGACTTTTTATTTTTGAGGATACAGTTTATAAAATAATTAAAAGAAAACCTAAATTTATAAATTATTATTATATAAAAATTTTAATTAAAGTGAAAACAAAATCACTGAAGTAGGAGCATATAAAATTAGTGAAGCTTTAAGTGTATGTAAAGATCTTAAAACATTAGAACTATATTTAGAGTAATTTAATTAGATCATTTTATTATTGTTGTTAGTATTATTTAATTTAAATAAAAGCTCAAATAGCATAGGCGATAGAGGAGCTTCAAGTATAGCGACAGGCATAAGTAAATGCACTCAATTAACATTTTTAAAATTGGATTTATCGTAAATTTAATTGATTTTATAAAAAATTAATTTAATCAATCATTAAGTGATTTCAGTAAAAAATTTTCAATACTTTAAAATTAAAATAATTTTTCACAAAAGGCAAAGCGAAATAGAAGATGAAGGAACATGCTAATTAGGTGAAAAGTTAAGTAGTTTTTAATATTTAACAAATGTGCATATTAGTTTAGAGTAAATTTTATTCAAATTATTATTAATCATTTTTAAATTATTTATATGAGATTTATAGGTGAACTTTTTTATTAAATTAAAATTTTTTTGAATTAACAGGAATAATAAAATTCGTGATAAAGGGATATCAAGTATTGCTATTGGTTTGAGCAACTGCAAATAAATTACTAATTTAAGTCTTAGATTAAAGTAAATATAATATATTTTTAATTCGAATTAAAAAAGTTTTAGCTTTATCTGTTTTTAAAATAAATGTTTATCAATTAAAGAATAATTTAAAACTTGTAATGCCTATTTAAATATTTTTCATAAAAGGAGGAATAAAATTGATTAAGAAGGAGCAAATGCTATTGGAGTAGGAATAAGTACCCTCTCCAATCTCACACATATTTTACTATATTTGTGGTAAATTTTTATGAAAAAGAAAAATTAGATTTATGTATTCAAATTTATGATCTCAAACAACTTAATTCTTTTTTAATTAATAATTATAAAAAAATTATTACTATGATTATTTATTTAGTGAAAATAGATTAGGTGAAAGAGGAGCTTCAAATATTGCATCAGGTTTAAGTAAATGCACTTAGATTAAAGAATTATCACTTAGTTTAGCGTAAATTACTTACTTAATTTTAAAACTATTTAACTCACTAAAAATCTCCAATAAATATTTTGAAGATTCAATTTAAAAAAGTATTTTTTAACAAATAATTTGTAATCAAAAAAGCTCAAATAAAATCAAAGATCAAGGAGCAAATGCTGTTGGTGAAGCTTTAAGTAATTGCAAAAATCTAAATAAGCTAGAATTATGGCTGAAGTAAATTCTATTTACATTTTGTATAATTAATTTTACTTTATCTGCTTATTTAAAAATATTTAAGCTATTTTGACAATAATTTAAAAATTATAAATTAATTATTTTATTTTTAAAAGAAAAAATGAAATCAGTGATGTAGGAACAAATAGTATCGCAGCAGGTTTGAATAACTGCTAACAAATAACATCTTTATTAATAAGCTTATTGTAAAAATTTTCATAAAAATTGTAAAATGTTATTTAAATTTTTCTTAAAAAGTAAAAATAAAATTATAAATGAAGGAGCTTGTGCCATTGGTACAACATTAAGTAAATTAACCAATATTACAGAACTTAAAATGTTCTTCGAGTAAATTTATTAATCAAGTCTTAGTTATTCTATCTTAATTTTTTATTTAATAAAGCCAAAATAAGATAGATGATGTAGGAATTTCTGGTATTGCTAATGGTTTAAGTAACTGCTCTCAAATTAAAACATTAGACTTTAGCTTTTTGTAAAAAATTTTTTATATTTTATAATCACAAAAATAAATTTTAGAATTTTAGATGAATTTTTATGGAGGAGGTATAGCAAAAATATGTCAATAAAAAATTTAGTGGTTTAGATTCCACAATCAAATAGTTTGTATAGTTAATTTTAAAAAGTAAAATATTACAAAACCCTCCTCTTACTTCTTTTTTTATTAGACAAATAGAGTTAATCTAAATCTAAAAGTTTAAATTTCGGTTATCAAGATAGATTTTAATAATTAAATAACATTGATAAAAATTTTCATTTAATAAATTAGATTAATTTATTTAATCATATAAATATTTATATTAAATAATAGCGGTAATAATTTGACTAGCTAAGGATATTCATAAATAGATTAATGTCTTTACAGCATGAAAAATTTAATACTGCTACAATGCGATTTAAGGTAAAGTTTTATAATATTTACTCTGTTAATATTACTTAATAAAATAAGTGATGGAGAAAAATTACTAAAATCGAAGGAAATACTAAACTGTAACAATATAAAAGTACTGAATATAATTCTAACGTAATAAAATAACATCTTTACTTTATTTAAAAATTTAAATCTATTTAGAAAGCTGCATATTTATATTAGATATTTAATTTAAATAACTTTAATTAAAGCTAAATTACTCTAACTTTCTCTATTTTTTCCCCCCTCATTTTATTCAATTTATAAAATAGAAAATGCTAATCAGAGAGTGAAATGATGTATCACAAAATAAAAGCACTTAAGATAAAAAGACTTGTTAAATTATAGTTAGAAATCGACTGATTAAATAAATAAACTAAATTTACTATTAAATTTATAAAATATTTAAAAATGCTAATCTAAATATTTTCTAACTCAGAAATAATTAAAATAAAAAATCAAGAAAATTATTTAAAATTTATTTTAAAAATTGAATGCAAACATGTGTGTTAGCAATTATTTTATTTTTATTGAATATTTTAGATTTAAAAAAATACTTAAAATAAAAAAAATGGACTAAGATGATAAATTAAAACCAAATTTTTACACATGTGAAACTCAGTATATTTGATAAAATTATCTTAAGTTTCAAAGAGAAAAAATTTTAAAACTAATTTATTTATTTTATTGATATTTTTAAATAAATATATATGTGTGTATATGCCACTCACATATTTTTTTAAGTTATAAAAATTAATAGGTTTATTATTTAAATAAAACTAAAAGAATAAATTCAAAAAATAAAAAACTATTATTAAAACTACAAAAGTAAAAAGAAAAAATTGAAAAAGAAAAAAAATTATTTGATTTATTATAAATCTACTTGTTTAATATCAATTATTTATAAAAAATAAGATACTTTTAATTTATCTTAAATAGTATTAATTAGAGAATAGAATAATTTCAAAAACTTTAAACCAAATCGGCACAATAATTATTTATTTGATTTTTACCGCTAATTAAAATTTAAAAATAATTATCCTACTTATCAATTTTATAAAGAATGTAAAAGCATAAGTAAAATTATTAATTTTTAATAAATATTTATTTTAATTACTAATTACTAAGCAGAATATAAAAAGCTATAATATTATTTATTCTATTTAAGTAAAACTTTAACTAAATTTTGTATTTTATTTTTTATTTTTATGATTTATATTAAGATAGTTTCTTTTAAATGGCAGTATTAATATAATCTTAACAATACATAGAAAATTTTTGCTTTAATATTTGATGATTTAAACTAAATATTAAAATTTAGTAGTTTTTAGGATACTAATTGTGTGGAAATCAAAAGTATTTATTTAAGAACTTAAAATTAAGAAGCTTTAAATAAAATACTTTGAATAGGAAAAAAAATGGAATATTAGAATAGCACATTCTTTAATATAAACAGCGTATTTATCAATTTATAACTACTTTACTTTGATAAATTATTTTTTTAATATTGAAAGCTTCTCAATACTGATTTAAGCAATTTCAGTCATCTTAACGTACAATTAGAGTAAAAAATATTAGTTATACTTGATTTTGAGAGATATTTAAAATTTTTTTTATTCAATTCAAATTAAAAAGATTAATTTTTAACAATTTTAAATATTATTTAAATAAATCAATAAAATATTTTAGAATTAATATTATAAAAATGATTTTTTTAACTATAGAAACTGTTAATATTTAAATAATACGGTGATCCTTTAGCTTAAAAATTGTTTAGCAGAGTGCTTATAATTATAAACACTAATATTGAATCTTTAGTAAAAAAATTAAGTTTTATATGTTAATTTTTATACTAAAATCTATAAAAATAGATTTGACGGTATTTAATTTCAATAAATGAAATTATTAACAGAAGGTTTGCCTGAATATTAAAATTTAAATAATCTTTAGCTTCATTTAAAGTTAATTTATTATATTTAAAATTACATTAAAAATTGTGACTTTAAATTTCTTTTATTTTTTAATGTTTTTATTAATTTACTGTGTTATTACTAAATAGCGAAAATGAAATTTTACCAGAAACAGTATCTATTTTAGGGTCTTTCTTAAAGAAGTGCTAATAATTAACAAAGCTCAAAATTGAAATAACGTAGACAAACAGTTTTTTAAATTAATTAATTGTTTTTAATGCCTTAGGGAAAATTGTATTGGTTCTGAAGGATTAACTGAATTATCTAATGCTATTTAAACTATCAAAAATATTTAGCACCTAGAACTCTAGGCTGGGTATTTAATTTAATTAAAGTCTATTTGAATTTTTAAAAATTTAATGATATTATCAATTTATTTTTTTTAAGTTGAATTAAATTGTAATATTAATTTAAATTAAAAACGTTTAATTAATTAATTCAATTAGAAATAATTACATCGAAGATGATGGAATTTTAGCTTTAAGTAAAGCTTTAAGTCATTTAAGTGTTTAATTAACTGATTTAGTCATTGAATTATAGTAAAATTAATTATTTATTATTTATTTAAAAATAAAAGTAACAAAACATTATAAAATAATTAATAAAAATTATTTTAAAATAAATGAAAACTGATTAATAATTAAAGTCTTAAGGAGGGGTACGAAAAAAATTTTTTTAATTTAAAAATTTTTAGCATAGTAAGGATGCTTGTTTAGCTAGATTAATTTTTCAAAAATTTTTTATCAACTTGCCTGAGTTTTTCTGTTTGTTTACAAATAATAAAGAAAAATTTCATTATAGCTTATCAAATATTTTTTAAATTATAGATAAAACCAAATCACAGAAGAGGGAGCATATCAAATTGGGGAAGCTTTAAGCATATGTAGTCATCTTAAAAATTTAGATCTATTTTTGGAGTAAATTAATTACATTTTATTATCGTTTGTTAGTGAATTTAGTCTTTTTTTTTAGATTCATACATGATATATATAATTAAAAAAGTTTAAAATTATTTTTTAATAATCTTATTTTAATGTAAAAAATAGCACAAATAAGATTGGTGATAGAGGAGCTTCAAGTTTATTTACTGGTATAAGCAAGTGCACTCAGTTAACATCTTTAAAACTAGATTTATTGTAAATTTAACTATTATTAAAAAATAAAATGAAATTAATTAAGAAATAATTGTAACTAAATAACAAATCTAAAATTACTTTACAAAAAGAGATAATGAAATCAAAGATGAAGGGGCTTGCTAATTTGGTGAAAAAATAAGATGCCTTTAAAATATTACTAATATTGAAATAGTTTTAGAGTAATTAATCTTTGATTAGACTTATAGAGGGAAATTAATAAATTTTTTATAAACTTTATTTTGACAGTAATAATGGAATTCGTGATAATGGAATATCAAGCATTGTTATTGGTTTGAGCAATTGCAAATTGATTACAATTTTAAGTCTTAGATTAAGGTAAATAAAGATTTCAAATTAAAAATTAAAAAGTTTATATTTAATTATAATAATATTTGATAATCATCTAAATATAAAAACTGATAAAATTTATTTAAATATTTTTTATAAAAGATAGAATAAAATTGATTAAAAAGGAGCAAATGAAATCGGAGTAGCAATAAGTACCCTCAGTAATCTCACAAATTTAGTTCTATATTTATGGTAGCTTTTTATAATAGCAAAAAAAATTTAAATTAAATCATTTAAATTTATTTTACTCCAAACTATTTAAATTTTTTTTCAAAACGTCTAATTAATTTATAGTTAAATTTTAATTTTGCTTTTTTCTATAGTTATAATAGATTAGGTTATAGAGGAGCTTCAAATTTTGCATCAGGTTTAAGCAAATGTTCTTAACTTAAAGAATTGTCATTAAGTTTAAAGTAAATTTAAATGAATAATCATATTTTTTACATTTTAAATGCCTTAATAAATATTAATCTAATATTAAGAACTCAAATGACTAAAAAAATTAATTGTATTCAATTACTTGTAATAAAAGTTCAAATAAAATCAAAGACCAAGGAGCAAATGCTATTGGCGTAGCTTTAAGCAATTGCAAAAATCTAAAGAAGCTAGAATTATGGTTAAAGTAAAATCTGTTTCTTTAGTATAAATATATTTTTTTATTTAGTGATTTATTGCAAAATATTAAGTCTGCTTTATTTTAATATTAAAATTTAAAAATAATAAGATTAATTAATTAATTTTTTTTTTTAAGTAAAAATGAAATTAGTCACATAGGAGCATCTGGCTTAGCTACAGGTTTGAGCAACTGTACTCAAATTGAATTTTTGTTGTTGAACTTATAGTAAAAAAAATATTCATTAAAATTGGTTAAAATATTATTTTAATTATTTGTATAAAGAAAAAATAATATTGGCGTAGAAGGAACTTGTGCTATAGGTATAACTTTAAGCAAGTACAATAATATTACAGATCTAACGCTTGGATTAAAGTAAAATAAAAAAGTTTTTCTTTTTTATATAAAATATATTTTTTAATTTAACAAAGCCAAAACAAAATAGAAGATATGGGAATTTATGGTATTGTAAAAGGTTTAAGTAACTGTTCTTCAATTAAAACCCTTTCTCTTACTTTATAGTAAATAATATTAAATGTTTTCTTGTCAAAAATAAATTTTTGGTTGATTTGAGGAGGGCATATTATTATGATGGTTATATGTGAAATTATCTCATTAGAAGCTTTCAAATATTTGATATAAATAATTTTAAAAAATAAAATATTACAAAACCCTCTTTTTACTTTTTTTACTTAGACAAATAGAATTAATCTAAATCTAAAAGTTTAAATTTCGGTTATCAAAATAGATTTTAATAATTAAATAACATTGATAAAAATTTTCATTTAATAAATTAGATTAATTTATTTAATCATATGAATATTTATATTAAATAATAGTGGTAATAATTTGACTAGCTAAGGATATTCATAAATAGATTAATGTATTTACAGCATGAAAAATTTAATACTGCTACAATGTGGTTTAAGGTAAAGTTTTATAATATTTATTATATTAATTTTACTTAATAAAATAAGTGATGGAGAAAAATTACTAAAATCGAAGGAAATACTAGACTGTAACAATATAAAAGTACTGAATATAATTCCAACGTAATAAAATAGCATGTTTACTTTATTTTAATATTTAAATCTATTTAGAAATCTGGATATTAAAAAAGAGATTTAATTTAAATAACTTTAATGAAAAGCTAAATTACTCTAACTTTCTTTGTATTTGTTTTCCTCAATTTATTCAATTTATAAAATAGAAATTACTAATCAGAGAGTGAAATAATGTATCACAAAATAAAAGCACTTAAGATTAAAAGACTTGTTCAATTATAGTTAGAAATCGACTGATTAAATAAATAAATATATTAAATTTACTTTTAAATTTATAAAAATATTTAAAATGCTAATCTAAATATTTTGTTTACTCACATATGCTTTTTATGTTATAAAAATAAATATGCTTATAGTTTAAATAAAACTAAAAAAATAAATAAATCAATAAAAATAATAAAAAACTATGATAAAAGCTATAAAAGTAAAAAGAAAAAATTGAAAAAGAAGAAAAAGAAGAAAAACATATTTGATTTATTATAAATATATTTGTTTAATATCAATTATTTATAAAAAATAAAATACTTTTACCTTATCCAAAATAATATTAATTAGAGAATAGAATAATTTATTAAAAATTTATAATAGTTAACGAGGGCAAAATTTCATTTTATTATCTTTTAATTTAAAAAATAATATATTTTAGTTATATGTATCTTTAATATTCAATATATATCATGAGTGGATTTAGTTTTTTTTTTGAATATACTTAAAATAGCTCCTAAACTTTTTATTTGATACTTTTAATTAATTTTTTTCATTAATTATTAATCTTTAAATTTTCAATATGTAATATGTCTTAGTTTTTGGAATTTTTTATTTATACTCATTTAATTGATTCCTAAAAATTATTTATGCAATCTATCTCCAACCATATTTATAATATGTATTCAACAAAAATTCTGTATTTTGAAAATCACTATGATAATTATCTTTTTATTTAATATTTATTCTAATGTACAATCTTCTATACTTTTTATAAAAGAAATAATAAATTAAGCTTTTTGAATAAATTAATAATATAAAATTTAAAAAGAAAAATAGTTAATTATAATTTTACTAATAAGTGAAGATTATATATAAAAATCAAATAATATCATTAATTTATTTCTTCTTGAGTACTTTTTAAAAAAAATATTTACTTTTCTCTAATAAAAAATATTTTCTATTTTAAATCTACTAACGCAGCTTTATATAGATTCTTCATATTTTATAGATTAATAATTTATTAGTTTTATTAACATTTTCATTTTTTTCTTATTTCACTTATCTATCTATTTTAATTAAATCAAATTCTGTTTATTTTTTATTTTTCAAAATTTAATTTAAACAAAATAAAACATTTTTATTTTTTCATCTTTTTATAATTAATTAATGAATTAAAAAATATCTTTTTGAAGAAAAAAAAAAATAAAGCAATTATTAAGAATAAAATAAAATGGATCAAATTTAAAATAGCAACACTTTTGATAATAATTTAAATGAATTATTTATCATAAAAAATTATAGCTAAAGATGCAATATTCATGGTCAAAGGTTAGATATTTTGTAAGTAGATAACCACTCAAGTGAACAAATGCTCAAGTGCATATATTGTATATAAGGCAAATCTGTTATATTTCTCCCTCTGAAGTGTGTGCTTGAAGGCTCAACCTTCTTGAAAGGATGGCCCATATTGGATGACTCTAAGATCTATGAATAACTTCTGCAGATACCTAAAAAAGATGAATTATTAAATTAATACATCTAAGATGTTCAAAATTTTTACAAATTTTTAAAACATGAAATTAATTTACTGATTGACAAGAAGGAAAAAGACTCATTAATGAATATCTAAAAGAGATGCGATAGTTTTGAATATCCATTGGATTTATACGATAGAATTTCTTAAAAAGAAAAACTTAAAGATATTATAATCAATTAATGCCAAGATTTTCACAATTAAAATTAAGCATTTTCTCAAATTGTTAAAGAAAACCTTTAAAAACAAGAAGCTTATATTCAAGAAATGAATAATTCTCTTAACACATTTTAAAGTTATAAAGTCGATTTGGTATCTCAAAACTAAACAAAGAATTAAATTATTCAACTTATCAATTAAATTAACGATTTTTCAATAGGTTAAGAAAATAGGAATATTTTACCGGTTTCATAAAATTTATAGGACTAAGGAAATAGTTAAATGAATTAGATTAAATAAGGAGAATTAGAGATGCAAGATAATGTTGAAAATAATAATATTGAAGTAGCATAAAATGATTTACCAGCTTAAGACGAAATAATTGAAATAGATTCACTCTAAGATCTTGACACAGTTTAAAATTTCTAAAATATAGTAATGGATTTTAGGTAATTAAATTTAATAATATTTTATCTCAAATTCATTTATGAGAAACTAAATTTTATAAAAATATTATTTTTTGTTTTTTAAAAACTAAGATAAAATATCAAATGAAAATTAATTTATTTTCTTTTTTAGTTTTTTAGTATAGTTTCAATTTATATGTTTAATTTAGTAAACTATACTGTATGCAAAAGGTTAAGTGAGTCTTCTTTTAAAAAAAGTTTTATTTTTTGAAATAAACATACCAAGAAACCAAATATTTATAATATTTGGAGTTAAATAGTATTTTAAGATAAATTAAAATTTAATTTAGCTTAATAAAATAAATAATCCTTTTTCATTTTTATTTTACAATTTATTGTTTATTTATTCAAAATCTTTCAATTCTTATAGGTAAATGAATATAAAATTTTTTTAGATATTTAATTTATCATCATATTATTTATTTCAAAATTTATTATTTGGTTATAAATTAAACCTAACTCTTACTTACTTACTTACTTACTTACTTACTTACTTACTTACTTACTTACTTACTTATTTATTTATTTACTAATCAGGAACAAAAATATTCAAGATGAATAACTTAAATAAATAGCTGGTGCTTTAGATAAGTGTTAGAATATCTCAAGTCTATACTTGGATTTAGAGTATTTAATTAATTTTACTAATTTACTTTTAAATTATTTTTAAAATATTTATTATTATTTTTTATTAAATCTTTTTTAACTTTATTTTATTATTAATTAGTGAGAATAATTTTAAATTAGAAGGTGTTAAATATATTTCTACATCTTTATAAAAATGCCATCAAATGAGTAGTTTAAAGCTATATCTTAGGTAATTAATTAATCTTTTTATTTTTTAATTTTCTTACATTTTATCTATTTTTTAAATTTATATTTAATATTTGTTAATTTATTTTCATTTTTTTTGTATTATTATTCGAAATTTAAATTATTTTATTTTATTATTAATTAGCAATAATGGTTTAAATTTAGAAGCAGTTTAATTGATTGCATAATCATTATAAAACTGTTAGAATCTCACTCAGTTAACTCTTTATCTTAAGTAATTATTTTTTGAATACTAAATATAATTTTTTTTACTTTTTATATTTTACATTTTTCTTTTTTAAATTTAATTTAATTAATATATTTATTTCTTAGCTCAAATAATTTAAACGAATAATCGGCAAAATATCTTGCATAATTCTTAGAAAAATCTTAAAGTCTTACAAAATTAGATTTAGGCCTTAAGTAATTGATTTTTTTAATATTAACATTATTGTTTATAAAATATGTTTTCTAATTTAAAAAAATTTAAATGTAGATTTAAATTTAGAGTATTTAATTAATTAATTTTATTTTACTTACTTTTAATTTATTAAGAATATATAAATTAATAAATACATACATCAATATGTGACAAGTATTTTTTAAAACTTGGTAAATAATATTTTATAAAATTATTTATTTTAAAAAAATTAATATTCAAATACATCAGCCATTCAAAAAAATAGTGATCTCAATTCACTAAATTTTTGAATGGCATTTAGCTATAATTAATTAATCTTTTTATTTTTTAATTTTCTTTAATTTTATCTATTTTTTATATTTATATTTAATATTTGTTAATTTATTTTCATTTTTTTTGTATTATTATTCGAAATTTAAATTATTTTATTTTATTATTAATTAGCAATAATAGTTTGAATTCAGAAGCAGTTAAATATATTACATAATCATTATAAAACTATTAGAATCTTATTCAGTTAACTCTCTCTCTTTGGTAATTATTTTTATATTTAATATCATTTATTTAATTTTTATATTTTACATTTTTCTATATTTAAATTAATTTAATTTATTTATTTGTTAGGTCAAATAATTTAAATGAAGAAGCAGCAAAATATCTAGCTTAATTATTACTAAAATCTTAAAATCTTAGATCTTTATAATTATACCTTTAGTAATTGATTTATTTAATATTATTATTTTTTATAAAATATTTATAATTTAAAAAAAAATTAAATTAATAAATTAATTTGTTCTTTTATCCTAGTAATAATAATATTGGGTATCAAGGAGCAAATCTAATTGCACTCTCTCTAAAAAATAATTAGAAAATCACTTATTTACTTCTAGATTTTTAGTAATTAATTTTTAAAGTTTAATGTAGGAATTAATACTATTTTGTAATTTATTTATAATCTTTAATTTATTTTATTTTTTCAAAATTGATAAAATTTATTTTGATAGCTTATAAAAGATTAAATTATTTGATAATTTAAAATAATTTTGCTAAACAAGCTCTCATTTTCTTAAAAAAATTTGAATTAAGTTAAAAATTTGAATTAAGGATATAATTAATTTATATTTTTCATTTTAAAAAATATTTTATAGTAATATAATTTCTCTAACTTGAAATATTTGTTTACACCATATAAATGATATTGGGAATACGACGTCAGAAATAAAGTCCACCATTTTTTCACTTTTACACGTTTTTATTTTAAAAATATCCAAATTTTTCATTAAAAATTTTTTATAAAATAAATTATTGAGAAATAGTGTAAGTAATTAATTAATTCAATTTTTCATTATTATTTTTATGTAATTAGGAGAAATAATATCCAAGATCCAGGAGCTATCGCAATTGTATAGTCTTTAGAATCTTGTTAGAATATTAATGAATTAAAGCTATATCTTGGGTAATTTATTAATTAATTAATTAATAATATTTTTGTGTATTTTAATTATTTACTTTAGCTTTATTTCATAAGTAAATATCAATTTTATTATTATTGCATTTTAAGCTGAAACATATTTATTTATTTCTTTATTTATTATTTATTAGAACAAATAATCTTCAGTTAGAAGGAATCAGATAAATTTCAGAATCTTTAAAAAAATATCAGAATACTACTCATTTAACTCTATCTGTTTGGTAATTTATTTTTTATATTTTCTCATTTTTTAATTATTATTTTAATAAACTTTAATTTTAATTAATTAATTTGTTAATTAATATTTATTAGTTACAATAACATAAAGCAAGAGGGAATTATGTTAATTCTATCAGCTTTGCAAAAATGTCAGAAAATCACAAATTTAAATCTTCAGCTCAGGTAAAATTTAATATATTTTATAAGGAATTAATTTTTTTTATTTTATTAAAATAATATTAAAATTATTTTTATATCATTCTCAATAAATTTATTTTAATTTTAATTATTTAATTTAAT